AAAAAAAAAAAAGAGAATTCCAAAAGTTGACTTTAGAAGTAGAACATACACATTTTTACATCCAAAGGCTTTTTACTATTTTTTAGAATGATAGTCAAATTGAAGTTATAGCTAGAAGTAGAAATTATAGCTAGACGTGAGATGGCCATGCATTCCTTGTTTGACCTCTGATGTCTCTGTTAACCTCTGCCTGGGGTAGTTATTAATAATGCCCAGTTTCACCATGAATGAGGGAGGGCCTGTGTTGGATTGGCGTTCTTGAGAACATCTGGGTACATCAGTGAGTGAGACAGCCCAATGTGAAGCCCCATTATAATTGGGTTGGCCAGAAATTTTTTCATTTTTAAATCTACACTTTAGGTACCTCTCAGTTTGGTAATGTAAAGCTTTTTGTTCTATGTTCTATTTGGTGAGGGTGACTGCGGGAACTTAGTGGCAGCTCTATCAGGTTTACAAAATTGGATGCTTTTTCTTTTAGTGGGGTTGGAATTATGAGTGGATGTGGTTCACAAGATGAGGCATTAACAGTCAGGGTTCAGAGAACAGTACTGCATCTAAACTGAGCTCTGTTTAACTCTTAAACTGACCATTGTTAGCCATGGCTTAAAGCTATGAGTAAAAAAAATACATTTTTCTTTTTTTGAGATAGGATCTTAACTTTGTTTCCCAGGCTGGAGTTCAGTGGTGTTATCATAACTAGTGCAGCCTTAACTCCTGGGCTCAAGCAGTCCTCCCGCTTCAGCCTCTGGAATAGCTGGGACTTTAGCCATGTATCACCGTGGCTAATTTTTCTATTTTTTGTAGAGACAGGCTCAAACAGGCCTCCTACCTCAGCCTCCCTACAGGCATGAGCCACTATGCCTGGCCTGAATAATTTTTAAAAGGGCTAGTTCATATTATGTGAGTCAGTCAGGTTAAGTATAAGAAGAGGTGTATTCTTTCTTACACACTTGCCCTCAGAGGACAATTCCTACATTACTTATTATCTAATTTAGAACAATGATTCCATTACCTGAGTACTTTTATACTTCTGCTCTTTTTTGCAGTATTCCTTATCCATGGGTGCCTCATCCTTGGATTGAACCAACTGTACATCAGAAATGGTTGAGAAAAAAACATGGATGGTGGTTGCGTCTGTACTGAACATAGATATACTTTTCTTCTTGTCATTGTTTCCTAAACAATACAGTACAATGTTATTTATATAGCATTTACATTGTATCAGATGTTATAATTCATCTAATTTAAAGTATACAGGAGGACATATGTAGGGTATATGCAGGTTCTACACTATTTTATATAAGGACTTGAGGATCAGTGCATTTTGGTATCATGGGATCCCTGGAACCAGTGCCACATAGATATCAATGGATGACTTATTTTTATACTTATTCTGTAATATTGAAGTAAACTTGTGTGGTTGAATTATGGGAGACATTTTTTATGAATAGGAATTAGCATTTAAAAAGAACAACTTCAGTTGTACAGTTAATATTTTTCCCTGGTGATGTTAATTCATTTTTAATCTACTTTTAAATAGGCATTCTATTGGAGATACCAAAGTTCCCTTTTGTCTTCAGTCCTGTGTAAAACCTTTGAAATATGCCATTGCTGTTAATGATCTTGGAACTGAATACGTACATCGATATGTTGGGAAAGAGCCAAGTGGATTAAGATTCAACAAACTGTTTTTAAATGAAGAGGGTAAGAATTAACATAAAAAGGGGTTGGAAAAAAATACTGCATTTTCTTGTATAAGTCTAAATAGTTATTTTCATTTGTCATGGGATTTCTGAGAAATCTGTAGAGATAGTTAATCACTTCCTTTTTTAAACGGTTATTTTAGGCATCTTATACTACTAGTGAGTGGTCTAGGAGCAGACCTAGGGGGCAGGGAGTAAGAATTTCATTTTTTAACCACCTGTAGGGGAATATATTAACAGCAAAATTTTAAAATGTCTGAAATTTTCTTAAGAATAATTCAGTGGAGACAGATGGGAATGCTGGGTGTGATTACTATGGGTAATAATTGCAACTAAATGATGGGTACAGGGATGTTCATATACTATTCTTTCTACTTTGATATGTTGTGTATAGTATTTGAAAACTTAAATGGTAGTTTTTATGGTGTACTTGGTTGAGCTCAGTGAGTGAAGATTTCTTTTGTGTGTATGTGTTTTGGTTTTTTCTTTCATCTTTGTTTTAAATAGTTGGATAACTAAAAAGTCTTACTACTCTATAGGAATTCAGAAGAAAAGGGAAGGACAAAGGTAGTTAGTACTTTTAATCTGATAGAGATTTTTAAAGCCGAACGCTGTCTAGCTGAATGTAAAGTAGGAAGATCTTTTTCATATTTATAATTGCAAGGGTAGACTTACAGTGAAATTACATATACTCTGTGTGTCTGGGTGTACCTAGAGTTACAAAATTAAACAATAAATTTGTTAATGAATGTTATGCTGGGTTTTTAAGATTATGATGATTTATTAAGATTAGTGAATAGATAAATTATAGGAACATATTGCAAGGGTACAAGTCCAATCTGTCAGGTGTGGAACATAAATGTCTTACCACAACAAGCAAATGAGGCGAAAGCTATGTTGATTGGTTTGATGTAACCACATCAGATTATATAAAAAAATTAATACATTGTACCCCACATATGCATAAATGTATTCATGATCTATGTGTATATGACTTAATAAAAAAAATTTAAAAAGATAAAGAAATCATAGTAGTTTTTAATAACAGTAGGTTTAAATGTGTATAGCATAAAAGTTTTGACCCTGTGGCAGGACTTGGCTGATGTTTGCTCACTTACAATGACAGAAAATAAGTTACTTTATGGGAATATCAATTTTAGAAACTTCTCCTAGGGAAGTCTTTTTCTGCCTTAGAATAATTATGTTAATCAGAAAATTAATCACATAGCCTTATTGTCAATATTACTAACTGCGGAGGGTATGGACCTTGTTTGTTGCATAACTTACCTTGCTAATACTGCAGTTTACAGAAAGCAATTACATATCTCTATTACATGATCAGAGAAGACAAACTTAAGCATCACATTCTGCATATTATATTATCCTGTAAGTATGTAATTGATAGGTTCCAAAAGGTATGTGTTGGTTACTTGTGTAGAAGATTTGAGAAAGAAGAGAAGTTAATTTACATAAGAAAGATAGGTCTTAATCAATAGGATTAAGTTCAGATGGTTAGGAAGGTGGGAGGGGGTACCATAGAATTAAATCATATGTAGACTATATTGTAAACATCTATAATGTAGGACAATTAGGCTTCTTTAACTCTAATTTTTATATGATACTGTAAAATTCCAATATAATACCTAAATAGAAATCTCCAAATTGAGCTAGACATCCTTTTAAATATTTTTTAGTTCTAATATGCATTAGCAAATTTTCCCTTAGCTTCAACTATGAACCAACTCCTTGTAAGATACATATACTTAGCCATTTGGAAAACTGTTTATAATACATGAAAGAACTCTCTGAACATTTCATTGCCTGGGGGAGAATAAATACTTGTTAAAATTGATCAGTTTTGTGCATTCTAATTTAAAATATGTCTTATACAATTTCAGATGTTGCCCATGTTCATTTTGTCAGTGTAATAAGCTTTAATATATATCATTACATTGAAATTGTAGTTTTTTCCTGTTCTGCTATTGATAAATATTTTTCAATTAAGAATTCTAAATTGAACCTTTCACTCTTTTATGGCAGAGCAGGAAACAAATAGATTTCACAGCCATAGGTCTTACCGTAAAGCTGTCCCCCGGGTAGAGTGCTGTAGCATCACAGCTCACAGCAACCTTCAACTCCTGGGTTCAAACGAGTTTCCTGCCTCAACCTCCCAAGTAGCTGGGACCACAGGTGCCTGCCACAATGCCCGGCTATTTTTTGGTTACAACTGTCGTTGTTTGGCGGGCTCGGGCTGGATTCGAACCCTCCACCTTAGGTGTATGTGGCTGGCACCTTAGCCACTTAAGCCACAGGCCCCAAGCCGGTAGGCTGGTGTTATACATGGATTCTCTCTCTCTGGTGGATTTCCAGATGTTCATATGTCTGGCTTTTGAGCCAAAGGTAGATTGGGCAGTTGATTACACCTGAAAACTGGGCTGTCATAGCATGACATGATTTAGTGTTCTTTGAATATAATTTATATAGCACTTGCAGAGTATTTATTTCCGAAAATATTTAGTGTTCACATTTATGTGGTATGCTTGGAATATGTATATTAGCTGCCTCCTAGGGCCTTAGGTGATATGGCCTAAGTTGCTGCCTCCTAAGATAGTGCTAGAAAACTCTGAAATGACAGATATGTGAACATCTATACAAAATTAAGTGTAAAGTAATTTAACACATCCTAATTTCCATATTCTGCTTTCTATCCACATGTGCTTTTCCTTTCCAGTGGATAATACTTGGAAAATTTTAGTGGTGCCTGTGGCTCAAAGAGGTAGGGCACCAGCCCCATATGCCAGAGGTGGCGCGTTCAAACCCAGCCCTGGCCAAAAACTGCAAAACAAAAAACCTGGAAATGGAAAATTTTTGCTTCTTGGCACCTTCTTGCCATGTAGTATTCTCCTGGGATAGCAAGTGCTCTCATCTTGTGTGGTCTTAGAGAAAGCAAATTTCTCTTGGTATAATTAGGAGTAGGCAAACCTTGATTATAACAACAGATGTAATGCCAAAATTTTAACTTTTGTAACTAGGCATTATCATGTGTAATGCATTGACGAAAATGCTACTAGGTATTTGAAATATTACTGTTGATTTGTATTTTACAGATAAACCACATAATCCTATGGTAAACGCTGGAGCAATTGTTGTGACTTCATTAATAAAGGTAAAATACTGACATTTCCTTTTAACCTAGTAAACTTTTTGTAATAGCCAAGGCATAAAGACGAATCTTGGATTGTTTATGTAGAACTATGAAAGGTTTTCACTTGGTGTTAAAAAATTAATCTTGTGGTATGGTATAAGGCCAGGATTTTTATTTGAAAATTAATAATGTAGTTACTTCAGGACCAAATTGAAAACAGATACAGATGACTCATTGTAAATCCCAATAGTTAATTACTTGACTTGAAGTCTGCTGGACAGTAGGCATAGGTTTTTGGTTTTTTTTTTTTAAAGTTTTGGTATTTTTTCATTTTCTTCCTTTTGGCTCTTCTAGAATAAACAGATATAAACAAAATTAAAAGTATTTTACTGTGTAATGTTTGTTAATAGCATATGTAGGAACAAATGTTCTAGTACTTTGTGTTTAAAACAAAGTACATTTACTTTCAAATAGTCTCAATTCTTTTATACTCTCATGATCTGGAATCACAATTTTTTTTTAACTTGTTTCATTTGTTTTACTTAAATCATGCCATAATTAAAATAATTAAGGCTTATTCCAATTATTAAGTTTTATTATTTTTCTTATGCTTTTAAAAGTTTATATTATATGTTAATTTTTTTCCCTTTTAATGTTTGGTTTGTCTTAATAATTGGAAGCTGTGATGTTGTGAAATGAGTAATGAAAACGGTCCTGTTGTGTGATAGATTTTTATATCTATTACATAATTTTAGAGTCTTCAGGTTTTTAATTTAGATTTTTAATTTCTAATTAGAATTTCATTTTTATTTGTAAATTTCATTTGTGTTTAGAACATTTGTATGCTTTCTTCAGTAAATAATCTGTGCCTGTCTAATCCAAGTTAGAATAAAGCATAATTACATGACTTTGTACATGCCTTACTATGGAATGGATACCCTAATTACACAAAGGGTGTTTACATATAAATTATACCCTTGATCCATTTTCACAGAAATTCATCTAATTTGTACACTAGAAAATCTTTTTTAACATTCATGAATTTTGTATCTTCATGAGAAATAGTTTTTAAAATAGAAGACTATTATTTTAATCTATTTGCTAGTCATTTAGGGCAAATGCTTTACTGTAAGCATTGGCTTTAATTCTTACAACTTCAGTGAAGAAGATAGTATAGCCAGGTATTTCTTTTTGATGTAACTAATTTTAATACGCTATGGAAATTTTCATTTTCTCCATTATAAGGTAGTTAATTATGAGTATTTTACATAAGAGAAAGTTGTCAGTTTGAGGTGAAAGAAGCTGTTTATTATAGAAAATGGTGATGCGATTATGTGCTTGGCACAGTCTGACCTTTTGGTAGCTTACAATGGAGTATTGAGTATGCACAAGTAAATGGGCCATTACGATGAAATTCAGTAAATGTTGCTATTAGAGAAAAGCCACTTTAATAAACAGTTCATATCCAGACAAGTAACTTAAATTAGATGTTATGTGTTAATGCTTGATGAGAAAAACACTATGATGGTTCTGAACCTTTTTTGGATCTTCCCAGAAAAATGTCTGTGTACCTTGATTTTACATAAACGTTATAGTGTTCATGGACTCTTTGAAGCTGATCCTTGCATCCCAGTTCAAGAATTCTTAAACTGGAGAAGGATTAATATGGTGCATTAATAACATTCCCCACAAAGGGCATATATATGTAAATGATTAATAGAAGGCTTCCTTAATTGTGTACAGTTAACAATCTTTTGTTTAATGATTCATGGGCTTAACAGACTATACTGAAATGCTGCATGTGGGAGCTGCATGTCTCGTCATGTTACATCATCATTTCGTTATTTTTGCTTAACTATGTTCAGTCATGAGCCATAAACTACACATTGGGTCACATTAGTATGAAGAATTAGAAACAGTTGAAACACACATACAACATAAGTGTGGTTCACTGTTTAATAGTGCAAAATTTAACTGAGTCATCTTATACTTAGAAATTTGATATGTGATTTTAAATTTATAAAACATTTAATTCTACTGGCAAAGTTGGAAATGAGGTTTTGGGCTATGGTTCATATTTGTGGTCCCTTTCTTAGAGTTTTTGTTTTGTTTTGAGAATGTATTTTACACATTACTTTTTTTTTAAATAAAGTTCATACAAATCTTGGAGGAGGAACCTGATAAAACCCTGTGTAAAACTGTCCCAGAATGTAGTACTGATAATCCTTTTAAGAAAGAATTCAAAATTTCTGGAAGCATCTGTATGTGATCCCTACAAATTACATGATAATGTAATTATTTGAAGTTGTGGTAATAAAACAATAGCCAAAAAGGCCTTAATGATCAAGCCCAGCTCTCTATATAACAGGAAACTGAGCCTGAATAGGTTGTAACAACAGTAGAATAAGGTTCAGCTAAATTTCCTAATACCCTGTTTAACATTCATTCTGCCATATTTAATGTAGGTGTTTGTCCTTTATCTTGGTGACATCTTTGACTTTAGCATAGTTACATTGCCCACAGCTCAGAAATACTATTTTCTTATTTATAACTTATACAACAAATATTGATTTATTGGCTTAAAAGTCACATCTATTTTTTAGTGAGTGTGTGTAGTTGTTTTTTGGATATTAGTGCCTGTCTGTAAGGTAACAAGCCCTTTCCCAAGGAGCTTGCATGTAAGTACCCAGACCATGGATATTTTGCCATGGCTACTAGATGTGAATTCTGGTTTTTTAGCTCTTCTTTTACTTGATGACCTTAAGACTATTGTGATTTTTTTTTTTCTTTCAAATCAGGAATTTATCATGGTGTCATTAGAACAATTCACCTCATGTCCCCCCTCCCCCAAATTAAGTAGAGTCTTTAGTAAGACTCTTTATTTCGTAATTTTGTAGTATTGATATTTTTTCCTTATAGGATTGGTGGTGATCCTCAGGAAATGGGGGAAGAGGCAGAGCAAATGTTCAAAAGGATTAGCAGATTGTGGAAAAAAGGAGGATTTGGACAGAAGGAACCTGTTGCATAAATTCTTAACTACTAACCTTATAGGAAAACTCCAATATTTAAAATTTTAAACAAAGCTATAGGTAAATACCTTTTTAAAAACAAATGTCATTTTATTTTTTAAAAACCATAAGGGTACTATACTTCCTCTCTTTTTTAGCTGCTAGTTTTAAAGGAATACTTTTTGTTTCATTCTGTTTTATTTGATGATGATGATGATGTGTGATTGCTTAAAGGGAAGAATAAAAATAAATTTGAAGGGAGGAGATTCTTTTATATGAAACAGCAATATTCTTATATAATTTATTTCATTTCAGCAGTAAAATATTTTACCTAGTTTTACTTTAAAAGTTAAGGTCTGCTGACAAATTTGAGGGTTAGAGTCAGGAAAGTAAGGGTAGCATATTATAAAATAATGCCACGTTTATACTTTTTCATTTTAGAAATAGAGTCAGTTACACTGTCTTCCATGTTTATATCTCTTTATTCTAATTGTAGTTGCCAGTTTTTGTCAGTTGCAGAAACTTGGATTTTTTTTATCAGAAGTAGTTTTGAATTTTAAAAAAATTGAGGTTTTTCTTTCTTTCAAATTACTTAATCATGATCTATGAAAATCAAGATAAGTTCAGTTAATTTATAGGTGTTCAGCTTGGTCACATTAGTAACAGCTTGTTAGATTTGCTTTGTAAGCCACATTTTTTAAGGGAGTTTGTAACTGTGGGGAAAAATGGATGATGCCTTGGGCTTGGTAATATATAATGTTCAGAAGATAAGATTATTTAATTTTATTATTTTATTTTTATTTTAAATAAAAGGTAGATCATTTATTGCCAACTGAAAATTGTTCTGATACTTTATTTTTAGGGTTAATCTATGAAAATACTAAACTGAGAACAACCTTATTTTAACCCATAAATCTGTTTTTTAATTTTCCTAGCACTATTTGGCTTTAAAGCATTTTCTGTCATAAAAACAAATTAAGAATATTTTATAAATTCATTTTTATTTACCTATTTGTACCTTTTTCCTCTGTGATCTCTAGTTTTTAATTGGTTTCACTGCCTTGCTTTATGAATGGAATCCAGTGAGTTATTTAAACAATAACTCTGATTAATGCATTTACTTTATTATTACTTTTTTTGCAGTTTTTTTTTTCTTTTGGCTGGGGCTGGGTTTGAACCCACCACCTCCTGTACATGGGGCCAGAGCCCTACTCCTTTAAAGGAGCCATAGGCACCGCCCAATGCATTTACTTTAAGTGAACTTTTTTTTTTTGAGACAGAGTCTCACTATGTCACCCTCAGTAGAGTGCTGTGGCATTAACAGCTCACAGCACCCTCAAAGTCTTGGACGTAACCGATTCTCTTCCCTCAGCCTCCCCAGTACTAGGACTATAGGCACTCACCACAACTCCTGGCTATTTTTTTGAGTGCAGTTCTCGTTGTATAGCAGGCCCAGGCTGGGCTTGAGCCCAGCTTCGGTGTATGTGGCTGGTGCCCTATTCACTGAGCTACGGATGCTGAGCCTAAATGAACTATTTTTATTTTAACTGTATTGGCAGATGTTCTTGTTAACAGTAATGTTTTCAACTGCTTTATAATTATAATACGTGAATCAATTCATAAATATGGTATAAAAACTATAAAAACAATTGTAACATAGTAACATTAATTTTATTAGTATTAAAACTGTGCCTCTTTATCAGATTTTCATTTATAAAGTCTTTAGAGAATTGTAAATTCTATAACTTGATAGGCATACTTACAGAAAAATATGTATAATTTTTTAATACCAGATTAAAATACCAATATCTGATTATCTTTTTAAAACATCCACCTGGTTTGTTTTTCAAACCTATTTGGGCTGGACATGGTAGTTTGCACCTGTAATTCTAGCACTTTGGGAGGCTGAGGTGGGAGGATCTCTCTAGCCCAGGAGTTTGAGACCAGCCTTGCAATGTAGTGAGACCCTGTCTCTACAAAAAACGTTTAAAAAAAAATTAGCCAGCCATGTTG